TTTTAAATGAAATATTAGAAGTAGGATCAATGTATAGCACCTCCAGGTATCTTATTACTGTTAAAAAAGAAAAACTTTCAACAAATTAAGTGAGTTTACTTGAGCAAAGAACAGTTTATCAGTCAGGCAACCCTCAGAACCAGAAAAGGTTCAGAGGGCTCCACGAGTAGGCAGGCAGCATTTGTAGGAAGAAAATGAAAATGAGATACAGAAATAGCTTGATTTGTTATAGCTACACTTTTTGATTATTTGGGCATATTCTGATCATTTGACAATGTGATAGACCGTCACCTAACTATTTGTTACAAAATATATTCCTAAATTAAGTTTAGTTTGTTAACGTTCTAGGTTAAGTTGCAGTTCAATTACACAAGGACCAAGTACAGAGTCAGCCCAGGCCTAGTTCAGTTTAATTTAACAGGACAATTGGAATAGACCAGTTAGTGCCTTTCTACAGCAATATATGGTGTTCGCCCTTACAAATGACACTAGATATTACCATAAAATTTTAGTGCATTTTTAGCTGAAAGGATGATATGTAATCTTAACTTACAATTCTTAGTGAAAATTAACAATGTGGATTCTTAAGATAGGGAGTACTTGTCAGATTAGAGTCAGAAAAAAAAGTATTTAGCTTTTAAGTACAAAAGTCTACACTCAGATAAAAAAATCTAGACTCAAATAAAAAGAGTCATTAAATAAATTGAGTCGTCAAGAACCTATTCCTATATGTTTTCACATAAAGATCTCATGAACTGATGATGGGTGAGAATTTGTTGAGAAGAGAAGCTTCAGATGTTAGTCTTTTGAGACGCTCTACCTCATGGGCTTAGCTGGATGTAAGGAAGTAGAAACACATTATAACTCTCTTAAATTCAGGTGTTTGAGAGTAGGGGATATTGCACATAATTTTCTGAGTGAGGTTTCAGGAGAAGATAGCATCATTAGAGTTGTTTCCAATGATGATGGGAAACTACTCTAATGATGCATAAAGCAGAAATGGTGATATAGCACAAAAAGACTTGAGGAAAAAGAGTGAAGTCAGTTTTGCAACAATTAAAAAGTTATACGTACTCACATCTGAGTTAATGACTGTGAAAAATTGTACCAGTACATTTGCCTTTAAATTTATTGCATCAAATGTGCACCAGACTTAGTCACTTTTCTTTTCAGTCATAAGTCTTCCTCATCTTAAAAATGGAGATAATATCTGTATAATGTACTTTTCTCCTATAAGTGCATACTCATGTGTCTTGTCCAAGATCCTATGAGTGAGTGGTTTATTCCTTGTCAAACTGAACACGATATATGAGGGACAAGTACCCTAATCAGGTCATATATCAGATAAGGCTGTGTGTGTGTGTGTGTGTGTGTGTGTGCGTGCGTATGACACTGCCTTATTTGGTAAATAGATCTATAGATAGATAGATAGATAGATAGATAGATAGATAGATAGATAGATAGATGATAGATAGATTGTCAAATTCCAACCCCTGTTACAAATTCTTCACTGAAGTAGCATGGTTTTGTTTTTGTTTCCAGGCAAGAATCTTTAATCAAACATCTGGTCAGACTGAATAAGGCTGACTATTCATATTCTATACAACTCTGTGCATAGGAAGGAGCTCTGCTGGCCCTTCAGGGTTGCAGAGCTGTTCCTCCCAGGAGAGGCCTACATGGTACATATTGCTTCAATCATAGGAATGCACCTTAGTTTATGAGTAGATGGAAATGTAGCTAGGTTTCTTATGTAGCTTCTTAGGAATTCTATCTGACTCTGTAGCCTAAGGAAATCTACTTAATGTAAGACACAGGTCCTGGGATAATTTTAGACTTTGGGATGTTTTTACTGACTTCCAAGGCACACCTACAAGTACCCTTGTCTGCTCTTCTTTGTTATAATTTATATTCTATAGAACCTGGCCTGGTTCAGAGCCCAGATGACCTGGGGTTCCTCTTTTCCTAGGGTACAGGCAACTACCAATTCACTCCATTACTTGAGTTGCCTAAGAAGTATGCAGCTTTTCAGGAAGATATTCTTAGAGCTTGAAGCCAAGTGGTTACCTCAGTGACCTCCTAATTATTTCCATTTAATACTTTGGATTTTCTCCCACAGCCACTAAATTGTGCTCAATAAACTGTTGGTTTCTGCTTGATTTCCACTTTCAGAATTCTATCCCAGCCATATCAGGATCTGATAACATGATGTAGGCAAGCTTTCTTGTGTTGATATGTTTTGGTTTGGGTCGGTTGGAGGTAATGCCCAAATTCTGAGTTCCCTAGGAACAGAGCCAAGAGACATTTAGCTACTTAGTCAGAGTTGGTGTCTGTGCGAGCAGATCTGGGAAACTCTTGTGGAAGACCTATGTGCCAAAACCGCATAATCAAATTTTGTTCTGAATAAGGCCCTTTATAGCATATTAGGAGAAAAACAACACGGTACTTGGAAGGAAAAGTTTTAGCAGAATAATCTTGAATGGTTAGGAAAATTAAAAATTAACAAACTAAAGGGGTGAATTAGTAGGTTAACTTTTTTTAAAGAACATTTTTGGTTTAGAATTACCTTTAAAATTAATTGGCCCAAAACACAACAAGGGGATTGGACTATGAGCACATGATAAAAGCGAGAGCACACAAGGGAGGGGTGAGGATAGGTAAGACACCTAAAAAACTAGCTAGCATTTGTTGCCCTTAATGCAGAGAAACTAAAGCAGATACCTTAAAGCAGCTGAGGCCAATAGGAAAAGGGGACCAGGAACTAGAGAAAAGGTTAGATCAAAAAGAATTAACCTAGAAGGTAACACCCACGCACAGGAAATCAATGTGAGTCAATGCCCTGTATAGCTATCCTTATCTCAACCAGCAAAACCCCTTGTTCCTTCCTATTATTGCTTATCCTCTCTCTATAACAAAATTAGAGATAAGGGCAAAATAGTTTCTGCTGGGTATTGAGGAGAGGGGAGCGGGAGGGGGTGGAGTGGGTGGTAAGGGAGGGGGTGGGGGCAGGGGGGAGAAATGAACCAAGCCTTGTATGCACATATGAATAATAAAAGAAAAATGAAAAAAAAATTAATTGGCCCATACAATGGCCTTTCTCAGGAGAATTTCCAACACATCTTTTTATGAACCTATTCTAGAGCATGTTTCAGATTTCCGTAAGTTATTTCTAATGAGTAGTGTTTTGCTTATAGTACATATATTGAACAGATAAAAGAAAATGTTATTGAGGCCTGTTACTAAAGAAAGTAAGTATATGCATGTATGTGTAATACAAACACCACCTTTTTATGAAACACCTTGTGAAAAACTTTCTTACAGTACTCTAAAACTGGAATCAATGAAAATTAGGCATATGTGTCTGCTTCATTGCTATGCTATATATTTCTGTATCAGGAATATTTAGTGTAATGTTAAACCTAATGCGCGCTATTAAACCTTTATGAGTTATACTAATAGGTAGTTGTCTATCATTGTTATACATACATTTTATGCCTGTCAGATAAATTGAATAACCTCATATGTAAAATTTTACATTCTAGAGCATCCTATATTCCCTCTAACTAGTGTTATAAATTGCAACATAATTTAGCTATAATCCATGCTATCTAATATAAATGTACTCATTTTCCAATGACTTCCTTTTGTAAAAGACCATCTAGAAATGAATGAATTAAATTAGTACCATTTTGCATTGTTGACTTCCTACTCGGGGATGACCAAAATAGATGCAGTTTACATTGATCTGTTTTGCAATGTGTATACTGGAATTGGAAGACCATGCAAATGAAATTGCATCACTATATGTCACATGCCAAGCAAGCCAAAACTTGCATATCATTGCTTACGGTTAATTTCTTAGTTATAAAATTGGTAGTATTCATGCACTTTAGTTTTTAAAGTGATCATTTGATATTTTAAATGGATTTTTATCATGTTAGAATTTTAATAAGTACTATTATAATGCATAAAACAAGTATAACAGTTGAATTTAAATTTCTGTTTCTTATGTGTAATATACAAATATAAATGCTTAAGATTGCAGTTATATTAATTATGAATTATTTGTTTAAAATTATAATGTGATAGAATTTGGATCACCTCCCTCATTAAATTTAGTCACTGCCTTATGGTCAAGCTCCTAAACTGATAGAGGTAGAGAGGAGGGATTGCTTCAAAAATATTTATGTATATACTTTGCACATAAGGATTTCCAGGTCCTTTGAAATTGTTTTGCTTTTCAATTTGAAAATCAGTGCCCCCAGTGTTCAGATAAATATGCCAGTAACATTAACTGCTAGAAAAAGACGTAGCTTCTCTGTGTGCCTGTGGCTTCAGTAGACCTTGTAACTCTAGGACTGTATACCCTTGCCAAGTGCAGTGAATTTGGAAATTGAACCAATGAAAACATATAAATAGTTTTTCAGGTCAAGATAAAGAGAAATGAAACAGACATAGCTAGTCCTTGCTTTTGTATGTATAAAGCGACTTGACCAGGACCAACCCAGCAGGAATTTCACTCATGAGGAGTAGAGCAGCAGACCTAAATTTCCTAAACTAAACTTTCATGCTAATCCATTAGATTTTTATAATAAAGTAAAAATCAAAAGCCCACAACTAATCATTATAACATAAAACTGTTTGTCTTTCCAAAGATGTGAAAACACTTTAATGTAATTTATATAGTTTCTACATGTTAGATGTAAGAAATAACTTCACTTAGTTAAAAGTACAATGAATTTGATGAACAAAACCCCATTTGCAAAATAAAAGTAAATAAATGCAGAAATATATTCATTATCAAATTATAAAATAAAAGTAAGAGTTCTTGTAGAGATTTCATGTTTATTACTCTTCATTTCAGATGATGGAGTTAATCATTTTGGTATGCTTAATAATATTTATAACTATTAAAATAATGGAACGTTGAGATTTGAATACAATGACAGTAAACCATTGAAATTTGACATTCACATTATACAGCCACCATGAATCTATAAGTGAATGTTAATAATGTAAAAAAATATAAAATGATTGTAATATAACCATCTAACCATTCACATCTGGAGTTTTAAGACCACTATTTAATATGCTAATTTGCCCTGAAATATAAGCAGTTGCTTTTCTGTGATACATGACATGTCTTTGTGCCTTAATATTAATTTGAAATATCTTTAGTGTAAAAATATACCAAAGTAAATAAAAAAGGAGACATTTATTTACAAAACGATATTGTATACATATTATATAAATGTAATTGTTCAAAGTCTTTCATACAATATTGAGAGAATCAGTCATTTTCATTATTTTACCACAAAACTGCAATGTTGAAAGGCAGGCTGTAATTTTGAAATTTTGAAAAAAATGAACACTATTTGGCTGCCTTGTAAGATAATGCAGTTTCTCCCAGTATGCTAGAGAATAGAAAGCTGATCTCTAGGAAAGCGACTTCTTCTTTCATTAAAGAAAATCCACTCCCCATTTGGAGGTGTATGATAATGCACCTGAAGAAGGAAGAAACTTACTATTTTGCTGAATGTGTTTCATTTGATAAACCTGATAACATCAGCCATTCGACTTATCGTATTAGCACCATTGGCATGGATTGTTACTATATTGTCCAATCGTAACAAAAATGGAAACTTGCACATGGTGTACCATCCCTACATTTGTGGAATTTTATTTTACCAAGTATGCTATCACACAATATAAATTCAAGTGTTTAAGGATGTTTCGAATGTTGGTAAACAACCATCCTGCATTTTACCAATACTATATGTAGATTTTCTGTACATATTAAGTGAAGCTGTAAAGAAATAGACTTCAAAGCAGAAATCTTAATTCACCAGAACATAAGGAGAATTGCTTTTGTTTCCTCGCTTATGTTGTAGTTGTGATATATATGAACATAAATATGTAATTTGATCTCCTCCTAGTTCAAGACCTCTGGAAATAGTAAAACTTTCTGTTGTATAATTTATTTTGATGGTTAAATGCCAACCATTGCATATATTCTCTCTTTGAGTTCATATACTGTAACTTGTGCTTAAGTAACTATAGCATCCTCAAGGCTTATAGCCTGTGGTACATAATTTCACAGTTTCAAAATTGTTCAGGGGAAGACACTTCCATATTTTAGGAAGTTATGAACTGGTATATATCTCATGAGCACCCACAGCGGTCTACCACCATGGCTGGAATTTTCCCATATATTATTTGTTCCTTGCCATTAAAATATAGCATATTAATGGGAGACATTTTTGTGGGAGTACAGCAAGGACCTGCTGAACCTCTGGGGTTTGCTTGGTGTACAAGATGAGTATGAGGATATTTTTGTAAAAATACAAATTCACACTCTCCAGAGCAGTAATTAGCCTTATATCTTTTGGGTGCAATAATCCAATCCCATCCAAAAGCTTCAAAATCCACTGTTAGAGGGTAACGACAGCATCGGGATTCTGTTGAGTGCTCATCACAGTCAAGACCAAAATCTCTTCTGGATCTTTTTGGTGTGTCTGTTACTTTGACCTCTAAAAAGGGATTCTGTATGAAAAGAACAATTAGTAATATTAAGAGAACCCAAAATACTTTCCTACCTTAAGAAGTCATTATTAGAAAAAATAAACCATTTTTATACCACCTTTATTTTTAAGAAGAACAGTATTAAGGAATTTAAATTCACATTAGGCTTGGTTTTCCCTCTTATGTCCCAAAGGAATAGGGCAGCAATATAAATTTTCCTAAGGTCAATTTTTCTTTCTATCTTTTATTTATTTGTTTATTTTGCGGGATGGTACTGGATTTTGAACTCAGGGCCTCATGTTTGCTAAGCACTTGCTCTACCACTTTTTTTTTCTTTTTTTTGCTTTAGCTATTTTTCAGATAGAGTCTCACATTTTTGCCTGGGGCCAGACTAGAACCGTGCTCCTCCTACCTGCCTCCTACATAGCTGGGATCACAGGTATGCACTACTACACCCAGCTCATTGGTTGAGGTGGGATCTTGCTAACATTCTGTTCAGGTTGGCCTTGAACCATGATCTTCCTCCTAAGTAGCTGAGGTTGCAGGCGTAAGCCACTACACTTGGCTTCTATGTCTTTTTAATTTTGTTTTCCCCAGTTTGAGAATCAGACTGCCTGCCACATAACAGGCATAGTTGCCTTGCAACTATGAATGGGAGAAAGTGGAGGGAGGGAGAAAGAGAAAAGAGTACCTGGGGAGGAAGGGAAAACAGTGAAAGAAGGGAGGAGATGAGCTTCCTCTCCTCATCATTGTTTATTGTATACATTGGTTAAATATGTCTAATCACTTGTGGAGGGATAGGTGCACTCATCCTCCCTAGGTCTTTACTCAGGGAAACTTATATGTATGAAAAGCAGAGCAAAATAAACCTCTGAGCACCATAAATATTGTAGTGGGAAAAAGAAGGCAGCATGATCAAGATACCTGTATGTATATTGGGTTGAAAAGGAAATCCCTAAAAGAGGGAAGGACAGATTCATAAGAACAGATAATCATATTGCCTTTGTTCTTTCCTTGAAAAGTATTTCTGTTTAGATATTCAAAATAATTTGCTAGCATTTGAGATTTTGTTTCTTTTTAAAGGGAAAAGTCTGAAGAATATATTATCTTAACCATCTGTTTAATAATTGAAACCTGTCTTTTTGATAATTAAAATACTACCTATAAAAGAATACTTTCTTAAAATAGTTAATAGTAGTTTTTAATCTTATATCAAAATAAAAATAGACTTGGTTGTTACTTAAGATTCTCAAAAAGGATATCATTTAGGAAGTCAATATTTAAAGTAGCAATCATATAGAAAACTGTATAGTCTTTTAAATAATGTTTTCACTTATAGCAGGTCTTATTTGCTAATTATGTATCTTTATGACCAAGACCATTTAAAGATTAAAAAATATCTTATGTTTATTGTTTTTAAATGAGCTTTTGATAACAAGAATAAAAAGAAGGTAAGTCTAGGTTTATATTAGGCTTTTTTTTTTTGGTGGTACTGCAGTTTGAATTCAGGGCCTACACCTTGAGCCACTCCACCAGCCCTTTTTTTGATGGGTTTTTCAAGACAGAGTCTCGTGAACTATTTGCCTGGACTGGCTTTGAATTGCGATCCTCCTGATCTCTGCCTCCTGAGTAGCTAGGATTACAGGTGTGAGCCACTGGTGCCCAGCTATACTAGGTTTTAAAATGTGGGGGTTTTTTTCTTTTAAAATGTGTTTTTTTTAATTAATTTTTAGAGTCTATGAAGTACTGTTATATTCTTGGCCTGATGTTAAATTAATTGGTATTCACTAAATAAACTCTTACACAAGGGTGCTTAGCTAGGTGGCAAAGGTTAACAAGCCTGGAAATCAAAATTTTATTAGGTGTATTCCACCAAGTAATCAATATATATATTATATATGTTGGTATATATAAAAAATATATATACATCAGTGCATTCACATACTTTGAGTAGTGAACATATTTATCAGGGGGGACCTTAAAGTAATATTTTAATAAAACATAAGCCTATACATACACATGTACTTAGTTAATTTCTGTAACTAAACCATGGTACTTTAATTATAATTAAAATTTTTCAACACATTGGGGAAAATGTTTTGATTTGTTGTGCATTACTAGATTCTACTATATACAGTTCATAATTTTATTCATATATTCATGTATCAAATCAATGAAAAGCACTTCATATTTCATTCCCAGTTCGAAGAACTCCTTATGAAATTAAGAATCATGCTGTAATTGTTTTTTTAATCTTCATACAAAGTAAGAATATCAAGGGAGTGCTTCATAGGATTTGAAATTGGACACCTACTTTTATTGGGTACAGGGCTGTCATTGGGGTTAGATACTTTTATCCTGTTTATGAGCACAAGAAATTGGTGTTTGTTTTCCACTGTTATTCATTCATATTATGAATAAAAACATAACAAGGTTGTTAGGATGTTATTTTCAGTTATCACTTACCAGCCCATCTTCTCCTGGTCCTGGGAAGGTTACAGCAAGATCATGACCATTCTCATCTACAGCTTTGATTTCAATGCCTAAGTTGGATTCAGGTTGTTTGAGCCAATTTTGCAACACTGTCTTCACATCAATGCTCTGCCAAATACCAGTGCCTGGGTTCATGTCAAGTTTCAGAGATCGGATTCCAGTATACCTTGTACCGTCTTTCATGGGTTTGATGAGTCTCAGGATTTGCACAAACACTGTTGTAGGAGTCTTCACGGGTCTCAGATATATCCACAGTTGGGCCTTTACTACTTTATTGTATTGTATTTTAGAGCTAAATTTAAAGAAGCAACATTTGGGTTTTCCTTCCACTTGCATTAGAAAATCAGCTACAAATGAATAAGAAAAGAGTTATTGAAACTTTTCTCATTATAACATGAACAAAGTCCTTCCATATTAATAGTTGAGCCTTTTTCCATTGGGTATGCATATGTAGAATTTTTAAATGAAATATGATGTAGAAAAATGTCAAAATAATTACTCTAGCATTTTACAATCTTTTAGATAGAATTTTTTTAGATATATATGTTTTCAGCTGTTTATGAGAAATCTACTCCCCTTCTAGAGAACTGTATACCAAGGAAAATTTTATGAAGGGATGAACAGTGAATGAAATTTGAAAATGATGATGATTAGAGAGAACAAGAGACAGTGCAGAAGAACATCCACTTAGAATTCTTTGGGAATCTGAGTAGTTACACTTACTGAGCAGCTGTACCAATCAGTCTGGAAGAAGGAACCCTTCCCCCAGGCCTGAATTACCTGGGGACAAGGCACACTGAGCAACTTACTGAACCTCAGGAATTAGCAGAAAATTTAGTTCATCTGTTATGTTTTGCCTCTGGAATAGCCTTTCAAAGGAACAAAACTTAGCAGGTATTTAGCAACAAAAACTTAGATGCTATATTCAAGTTATCTCAAAAGTTAGAAAGTATTCTCTTTAAGGCCACCCTGTCATTGTAAGCACAAACACCAATAATTTGTTCCTTCTTTTTTTTTCTTCTCCAGAATATAAATAAGATAAATCTACTCCAGGACTATGTGATAGTGAAGTCTTACATGAAAATTATTTATGAATGGTAACTTAATTACTTAATAAGGCAAACAATAATTTGAAACAGTTTCAAGTCTGGTTTAAAGTGTATAAAACACTGTATTCAAGCAAGATCACAGACACATGGCAAAAATCTTTCTTGTCATGCTTGCTCTGTCAAGGTGCCTCTCTTTCTTTCCTGGAGAATGTATTCTGTTTGAGCTGACTGAAAAAGGAATTGTATGAAATATATTATCATTCAGAAGCAATGTTGTTACAACAGGTAGTAGTCCTCCCTCATATGAAGAATAAAGTATTTTAGAAGGTTATTAAGCAGTGTGCCTGCTTATAAATATGCAGACAGGCTTCTCTCAACAAGAGAACCATGAGCAAGGTACAAGTAGGACTTCATGAGTCATAATCTACCTGATTAAAATGTTCATTTCACAGGCATTTTCAGATATTTTGTTCACGATTACCCTTATGCTATGTCTACCTCATTGTTGCTTTAATATATTAAATATTTAACTTTTCTTTTTGCTCTTCAGTGTAATAGCTTTCACAGTTAAATAATTTGTGAAGAACAAAAATACTATGATAGTTTTAAAAAACAAAAAACACTCTAGCTGTGCAGCAGTACTCACACAAGCTGAAACATCTAGCAAATTTCTTCCTTCATTATTAGTGAAAACCTTTCCATAACTATATATTTTAGGCAGCCAAAGTTTTTAACATTGCTTATAGTACCTCCCAGTCCTCGCCTTGGTAGTTAGCATTAGGCAGTACAAATATAAGCATGCTATGTTTTCCATATTAAACTAAATATTAATGCTGTGAAATCATTTTAATTTTTAGCTTTTCAGCTCTATAAGGAACCAAGTAAAGCAGCAGATTTCAGTCTCAATGTATTTCTCATAAAAGCTTGAGAACTCTTTTCTCTCCTATTTACAAACAAGCCAACAGCTTATTAAAAGAGCCTGAAATAGATCTGTTTCTCATAAACACTAGAACAACAGTCAGCAGAACTGTTGGTGTGCACTAACAGAACTACTTACACTCTGTAGGCATAGTAATGATTGTTTCTGTTGTAGCGTGATAATCATCGTCTTCCAAAGAACCATCACTGCTGTCATCCCTCTGGACATCGTACTGATCAATCAGTTCCCGTAGTGGAGGAGCTTTGGGTAACAGTTGTCTTATAGCATCTTTGCTGATGTTAGGAGCTGTTTCCAGGCGAAGTTTACTGAGGATCTGAATTTTGATGGCTTCTATTCTTGAATATTTTGTGTTCTGTCTCCAAGTACATGCATTACATAGCCCTTCTTTGTCCACACTTTCTTTTTGCTCACTGTTCTCATTGAGATCCACTGGACCAGCAACAATCAGCATAAACAGGTAGATATAAACATAGATTTGCAGTTTTTGCATGATTTTTAAATCAGTACAATCCTTTTTCCTGGTTCTTATTTCTTCTTTTTGCTTTTCTTTTGATTTTGAGCAATGCCAAGCAGAATTTTAATGCAGTACAGTCTGAGAGACAACTTGCCACACCAGTGAATCTTTATACTGTATTCCAAGTGGCTTTTTATATTCCAGCTGAGACGAGACAAGTGTTGTCAGGATCTATGATTGGCTCTTGCTCCACAATGAATCTCACTGTCAGAGGTTAAAACCCTGTCTGTCACAAGTCACCAAGCAGTATTTTGTTACAGTCGAGAGTGAGCTGATTCATTCGACTACTTCATAAAAGAAATAAATCCACAAATAATGAAAGATATATGTGACACTTGCAAAATCAAAGTCTATGTATAATATAAGAAACACTTAAATCTTATTAATCTCTATAAAACTCTTAAGTTATAATTTAAATTAATAAGCTTTAATTTACACTTAGTACATAAAATGTGAAATGTTACTTCCTCAAGAGTTAGAATGATTTTTGTTTTTGTTGTTTAAGCAAATATTTGAAGTAAATGGATTTTTGTTTGTTCTATGAAGTTACTTTTAGTGCTACATAATTAGGGAAATAAAAATTAGGAAGGCCTGACTTAAAAGAAAAGTTAGGATTGTGATACTAGTAAAAGATTTTCATCTATAATTTGAGAAATTTGTTTTCCTTATTAGATTCTTAGCACAAATTGAAAATTATTCTTGCTATTTTGTATTGTGCATGAAATTAGTTTAAAATCATTTAAATGTCTTTTATTAATATGAAAATTATGCTCAATTTTGACTGATTGCTCTTATGCTATTTCCTGTTCTAAAGATGCAGATTATTATTATTCCAAAGTGCTTCTTCATTATTTGTTACCATGAGGGTAATGTTAGCTAGTAGAAAAATCTGTGAAGTTGGAGTAAGATATTAACTGACATGGCAGCATTTAATACAGTTAGCCTCAGGTCTCCAGTAGTAAAAGTAAAAAGTGTAGTATAGATTCTCTATGATTTATATCAAAATACTGAGAGCACATAAAGAGAAAGAGCACCAGAGTAGAGGGGCGCCCTTTTGTTGTTTCTCCTATGGTGATAGGTTAGCATCCCTTTGCCAGTTTCTCATTTTGACCAGAGGGCAGACACCTGGCAGGGATTTGGGGCAAGATCAGGCAGCAGAGAATAGAGCTTTTTGTTCTCTGATTTTAAGTGGCCTCTATAGGGATCAAACGCTCATCCTTTGCTCTGGGAGCCACAAGATCTAATCAAATGAACTATTAAAGAGCTGGGCAAATATAGCCAGTGAGAAACAGAAGATGTTTCCAGGCCACAGAAGATTTCCTCTTACTACTCCTTTTTGGGAAGTTGAGGACTCCTAAGAGATTTAATCCATTATTATTTTCCAAGAGAATGTTGTGACCCCTATCAAATATTTATTTTTTAGGTCACTACTGTTTTTGCACACTGTACGCCAATTTACTGCCTCAGTGCACTAAGATGCAACTCAGTAGCCTGAAAAGTTAATGCATTTTCATCAAATTCTTAAGAGGCATCTACATCTCTTGAGAAAAAATGGCCTTACATAATGCATTGGATTTGCCCATCATTAAAGATTAAGGAAGACCAGACACAAACCAGATGCCCTGAGGTTTTCAGATCCTCTTTGTTTGGGGACAATATTAGATCAGGCTTACAAAGTTTTACTTGTTTGGAAAATTCATTTTTCAATGTATAACTCTTTGGAATGTTACAATCTTTGAATCCTTCTGAATAATTCAACCCTTTTTTGTATGTGTCAACCCTGTTTTTTTTTTAATGCTTTACATAGCAGTTGAGAGCTCAGGTTGTGAATTCAGATAGACCTGAGTTCAAATCTCAACTTAGTCACTTTTAACTACATGACAATGGATGAGATAGAACTTAACTTCTTTTGTATTTAGAATCTCATAGGGACCTAAAGGATATAATTTAATAATGCATGTAAGTTGCTAAATATAGCACCTGTCGTATGGTAATTGGTAAGTGGTACATGAGGGCTTGCTCTTTGTTTTGTGCAGAGGGGTTTGGTGTTATATGTAAAATTATCCACATGAACTAAACTGCTTCAGGTTGTAGCTGTCAATTACCCATGCACAGAGTCCATCTCTCTGGGCCTCTAAAGAAAGTAAATTTTCTAAGGCCACCTGTTACAAGACATGCTTCACCTCTTTATTCTTATTACTTGGAATGAAGTAAACAAAGATTGTCATTTGCACATATAGTAAGTTTGCATTATTCATGGATTACATATTTGCAATTTTCCTACTTGCTAAGCTGTATTTAAAAAACCAATACTGGTGTTGCTATAGGCATTCATTGATACTCATTGAGCATCAAAATTAAGTTAAATTGAAATAAACAAATTGAGGCTGCTGACACACAGGTTCCCAGCTGAGACTGGAAAAGGCAGTACTCTTCTCCCATACTATGAAAAAGTGCCCACTTTCAGCCTATTTAGTGCCATGTTTTTTACATTGTTGTGCTTTTCATGTTGTGGCTGAGTTTGCTGCTTAATGACAGTCCCTAGAGTGTTGAAGTGCTGTGCAATGTTCTTAAACACAAGAAGTCTGTGGTGGAGGGCTGGTGAAGTGGCTCAGGTGGTAGAGCGCCTGCCTAGCAATCGTGAGGCCCTGAGTTCAAACCCCAGTACTGCAGCAAAAAAAAAAAAAAGATAAAAAGAAGACTGGTGGAAAGTAGAATGTTGGCTGCCAGGGGCTGGGGTGTGGTAGTTACTCTTCAATAGATACAGAGTAGCAGCTTGGAAAGATGAAAAAGATCTGGAGATGGATGGTGGGGACTGTGCACAATGATGTGAAAATACTTAATGCCACTTAACTGTATGCTTACAAGTGGTTAAAATAGTAAATGGCACATTTTATGGTACACACACACACACACACACACATATTATCACAATTTTTAGAAGACTGTGGTATGTCTTAGGAAAAAACTTTCCTTACGAAAAAATACATGTTTTAGATAAGCTTTGTTCAGGCATGAGTTTGGTGTTCTGGCTGTGAGTTCAATATTCATAATGAATTCTTTATATTAAATAGGTGTCTTTACAAAGAAGCACACATAAAACAAAGCAATACATTAATAGGTTGATGAGAAAGTTATGACAAGAGGCCCACCTAATCCTGCATTTTCTCTAGGAACAGTGTTGGGGAATACTGTGTAGAACATAACTGCCATGAATGATAATTGATAGCATCTAATAAATTTGTCTAGAAGACAGTATCAGATGGGTTGGGGAGCACTCAATCAACTTCAAGTACTTTTTTTCCTTTCTTCTGATGACAGCCTCCCAAGGCCCCAAGGCAGAAGGGCTCCCCAACTATAGGAACATTTGCTATGGTCTGACTACTAAGAGCTGCTCTCTTTTATAAGAAGGACAGGATAGTACAATTAGGATGAGTGAAGAGAGAAGCATTTCTTCTCTTGATTAGGAGAATTTGGTCTGTTAGTTTGATGGCTTTGTCTTATGTTCACCATCTTTAAATGCAGTTTGCCACAGGAGTTAATTTAGGTGGCCGAGGCAGCACCTTAAAGGACTTGTGCTGTCATTCTTTGCCCTGATGGCTATTTTAGGTCCTATATTTTCTTTAATCATCACTAAGGTGACAAATTCTCATCTCTGTTACAAACACTCACAGATTGTACCAAAACACCTTTGAGGGTATGAAACCTATTTACCAAAACACTTATGATTTTACACTTTCCAGATTCCTGAAAATACTGAGTGCACTGATGTACAGACTTGCAAGAAGTTTAATGATACCCCCCTATAAAAAAGAGGAAGGGATTAGGAATTAGAATAAGAATTGTTCATGAAAATTTGGAGAGAGGAACACTCAGAAAGCTACATTTTTTCTGACCACTCTTGCCATTTCCTTGTCATAATCCTTTAGTATCACTCCAGGATGATTACTCCTACAGCCAGAGAAGAGCTACAGAGTGCTCAGATCATGTAACATGAGAAAGCAGCCAACCCACACTGAGAATAACTGATCATCCATATTTTCAATGGGTTATAATACAAAAATTAACAAAAACCCAAGTATTGTTGAGCTAGGAAGCAAGAGTATAAGCTAGAAGACAGGAGATAGAAACATAGTTCTGGCTTTGTTGCTGTTATTTTGTGTAACCTTGAATAAGTCAATTAGCAAGGCCTTCATTTATGAATATATATGTATGTATGCATGCATGAATTCATTTACTGTTTTATGAAATATTTGAATGCCTAGGTTCTAAAGATAAAACAATGACCCAACCAGACACAATTACTGTCTTCGTAAAACCTATGGTGCAGTTTCTTCATATAAAATATGAGGAAATTTGATTAGGTGTTTGTGCCCTTTCAATTGAGGTTTATCCCCTAAAGCAGTAATTTGTAAAAATTTTGTTCTCAGGATGACTTTATGCTCTTAAAAATTATTTAGGATCCCCAAAACCTTTTATTTGTATGAGCCATATCTACCAATATTTAACATAATATAAATTAAAACTGCAAAATTTTAGCAAACAGGCATATACAAACATACATTCTATTTTCTGACAGAGTGATGAAGTCCACATACATCACAGATCTTCTGGGAATTTTCATTGTACACATAAGAAAGAAAGTAAAAAATAATCTTAGAATTATTATAAAAATAGTTTTTGCTTCACAGACTCTCTGGAAAGGTCTTGGGAACCACCCCAGGGATCTCTAGGCTACACTTGGAGAACCATAATTCATTTTTACACCAGTACAATTATTTCCCCCCATAACTTAAAGTCCATTCCTCCAAATATCTATGACTACTTTTAATGAGATCTCAAATAGGGTAAATTTTAAACATTACTATACATTTAATACATTTAAACATTTAATAGTACATAGTTAGGTGCTGCCAAGAGCATAAATTTAAATATTATTGTGCTATAATTACCAACTACAAACTCGTAGGCAATCTAAAGGACATTTTCGGGATGCTTGTCAGTTCTAGGGTGTAGACCGAGACCTGTATGTCATCTTGAGGGGTTTCTTGTGGATAGCCTTCAGGTCAATCTTGAGGTGAAAACACT